GTGTGGGGAGTAACAAATCGATGTGTCTCTCTCACATTGATGTTTTTCTCTCTCTTTCCCCCTCCCCCTCCCTTGCTCCAACTCTCTCTAAAAATCAATGTGGGGGGGGGGGCAGGAGACAAAACTCTTTTGTGTCACAAGAGACTAAACATCGCCCTAACTAGTTTGACTCAGTGGATAGAGCGTCGACCCTTGGACTGAAAGGTTCCAGGTTCGATTCCGGTCAAGGGCATGTACCTTGGGCATGTACCCAGTAGGGGGTGTGCAGGAGGCAGCTCATGGATGTTTCTCTCTCATCGATGTTTCTAACTCTCTATCCCTCTCCTTTCCTCTCTGTAAAAAATCAATAAAATATATATTTTTTAAAAAGAGTGACAGTTCAGAAGCAGAAATTTTTTTTAAAAAAAAAAGAGAGACTAAACATCTGTGATTCCAGAATTCGGCCAAATTCAGTGGATATGTCACCCGTAGGGGCAAACTGGCACAGCACTCCCCCTCCCTTCCTATCTGCCTGCAGTATTGGGGGACACCAGCCCCACCCATATGTGTCCCTTCTGCTTTAGAGGACCCATGCATTCTGGCCCGTTTTTAAAACCTGTTCTTCTCACTTCCCACTGATCCTCTGAACTCCCTCAGAACCTTCCCCAACATTCCTTTGCCCCCTAAGACACCCAGAAGTGACCTGTGTGTTGATTACTACCCGGAACCCTGACCCTTCTACTAGTGAGCCCTGGATTCTAGAATGTTCATGAGGAGGGGTGAGCATTCTGAGGGTCTAGAGCGCCAGGCCTTCCAAGATGCTGGGAGTCCGCAATTTCAGTGATCCTACGGTTCTGAGCCTCCCAGGTTCCAGAACTCAGGGATTCTCCAGCTTGTCCCTGTCCGCCCGGCTCTTCCATAATTGCCCCTGACAGATAATAGTGTCTCCGGGCAGAAACCATGATTCCTCTAATCCAGCAGCCCAAGCCCAGGGCCTGCTGCCCACAGCCACCTGGCTTTCTCTATCAGCTTAATGAGAAAGTCAGAATTAATTGGAACTGGCACCCAACACTTACAGGGCTCAGTGTGGCCGGCTTGGCCTCCATATGTTAAAGCCAAGTGTCCCTGGGCCTTGCTCTGATCTATCCTAGACATCAACAGGTATGACACGTGAGGCCTGGAGCTTCGCCTGATAAGGGAGGTGGCTGGGGCCGTGATGACCTGGTTCTGCAGGTAGAGCCAGCCTGCTCACCTTCCCTGGAGAGAGTGCACACCCTCGTTCTACCACGTCCCTCTGTCTGCCTCAGTTTTCCTCCTTTGTTGGATGAGTGAGCCTCATGGTTTGCTGTAAATTGCTCAGCACATGCATTGTGCTGGCTGTAATCTGTCCTGGGTAGACTCCCAGAGGGATAGAACTAGTGTGTTATTTCAAGAGCTATTATCAGAGAGATTATACTGCTTCACACTCCAAACCCCAAATTGTGAGATGGCTCTTTCCCCAAAACCCCAGCGACATGATGAATTATCAAACTTTTTCACCTTCAGCAACCTAACAGATTTCATTTAAAAAAGGTATTTCATGGTAGTTTTATTTTATATCTAGTTTACTGTGAGTGAAAATGACTTCCTCTCATGTGTTTAGAAGACACTGTATTTCCTTTTTTAAAAAAATGTATTTTTATTGATTTCTAAAGGAAGAGAGAGGAGGAGAGAGATAGAAACATCAATGATGAGAGAGAATCATTGATCGGCTGCCTCCTGCACACCCCCTACTGGGGATTGAGCCTGCAACCCAGGCATGTGCCCTTGACTGGAATTGAACCTGGGACCCTTCAGTCCACAGGCCGATGCTCTATCCACTGAGCCAAACCAGCTAAGGCCTGTATTTCCTTTTCAAAAACTGTTCATATTTTTTGCTTTTTCTATTGGCCTTTGGTCATTATTGAGCTTTTGAAGCTTTTTACATATTAAGGAAATCAGCCTTTTCTCTATCAGTCTTGGAAAAGTTTTCCTGACTTTGTCTACTGACTGTCTAGTATTTGTGTGTGTGTGTGTGTGTGTGTGTTGTGTGTGTGTGTGTAAGAATTTTATATGTGTTTGTAGTCAGTTATTAATCTTTTAATTAAAGACTTCAGGGTTCAATGTCATGCTTTAACAAACTAGGATTATTATTTTTAATTCCCATGTTTTCTTCGAGTAGTTTATAGTTGTCTCTCTCTCTCTCTTTCTTTCTCTCTCTCTCTTTTCTGGGAAGGGTGATCCATCTGGAATTTGCTTTTAGCCACTTTCAAAATCTTCATCTGAAATCTCATGATTGTGTAAGAAGCTTCATAGTCAGCGGACAATAGCGTGAGTGTTGAAGCCAAGTGGCTGGGATTCAAATCCTGGCTCTGCCATTTTCACTGTGTGTTGTCAGGGGAACCATGTATCCTCTCTGTGCCTCAGTTTACTCATCTGTAAAATGGGAGATAATAGCGTCATGTGAGAATTAAGGGACGTGTTCTATTTTTTAAAAATATGTTTTTATTGATTTTAGAGAGAGAGGAAGGGAAAGAGAAAGAAACATCACTTTGTTGTTTCGCTTACTTATGCATGCATTCATTGGTTGTTTCTTATATGTGCCCTGACCTGGGATTGAATCCATAACCTTGGTGTATTGGGACGATGCTCTAAGCAACTGAGCTAACCAGCCAGGCCAAATTGCACTTCTTTCTGAATATCCTCTTGAAACTAGACAACCAATGGGTCCAGGCTGCCTGTCACTACTTGAGACAGGGTTGAATCATATATGAGTGTTTATTCCAATACCGCCAGCAGCATGGGAGAGCAGCAGGTCATCCACAAAAATCTGCTCTGCAAACCCCCATAAACCAGCTGCTTATATCGAGTGGGACTAAGATTACATGGGGAAGTAGGGATTGCAGACATGGGGAAGTAGGCTATGCGGGCTGGGTGGGACTCCATTTTTTGGGCAAAAAGGTTGTTAATCTTTCCATGATAATAAGCAGTTCTTGACTGAGAATGGACCACATTCCAAGGTTGACTCCCAGGTCCTGGGTGGGGATACAACTCCCAGCCAGGTTAGAATGTCCTTTCTTTAACCAGAACAAGACAGTCATGGTTAAGAGAGCATGGTTAATATTTCCCATAACCATAGCTAGTCCCCAATATTCTATTTTTGCCCCTAACACTCTCAGCATAGACAATTATCAGTGACTGTGCTTCAGTAACATTTCTCAGTGCTCTACCCTCAGTCATTTCATCCTCATAACAGCTCCATTGGACAGATGGGAAGGTGGAGGCCCAGGGTCCTTAAGTTCCTTCCTGGGATCTTTCAAGGGCCAAGGTCGGGGTTAGAGCCCACACTCTGTCCACTGCCCCGTTCTGGCCTCAGCCTCCCTCTCACCCTCCCTCCTGCCACTGCTGGAGGAATTCCCAGGGGGCTTCATCTTAACTGGCTTCTAAGTATAGACTGAATCATGGAGGTCAAGCCAGCATCCTGGAGACCCAGAACTGGTCAGTCCTGTCCTGGCGGGTAAGACAGTGGGCAGGCGCAGACAGCAGGCAATCAGGGAAGGCTTTTGGGAAGAGGGTGCTTTGGGAAGAGGTGTGACTGGAGAGGCAAGAGGAGCCTGAGAAAGGGGTTGCCAGGGAGGGGGGACATAGGATTGGGGATGGGTGAGCCCCTGCTCACAAGCCTCCTGTGGCTGCCACTGACCACAAGCCTTTACTCCTGCTTTTCCCCCACGAGGCACACACTGAACTATATAGTTGGTGATCGTGGGAAGGTGTCTCCTTGGTGGGAATGTTGAACTCCTATTCATCTGCCAAAGCCCTAGCACCAATGCCTACCCCGTCTGGGAAACCATGCCCACATACTGGCCTTTCCCAGCCTGGGTTCTCTCCTCCTACTTAAGCCCTGACCTCATAGGGCTGGGAGTGTCTGTGTCCAAGTCTGTATCCCTCACCCTCAACTGGGAGACCCTTGAGGGCAGGGTCCTAGGTTGTGATGTCTCTGATGTTTGGCATTGCCCAGCCCAACCAACAGAGTAGATGCTGGTTGAATGTGTCTTGAAGGAAATAAGGGAATAAATGAGTAAGCGATGAATAGAATTCGCAATCACTTATTTCCCTCTGCCCACAGCCTTCCAGTGTTCCCACCTCCCTCAGGGTAAAAGCCCAAGTCCTCCCCAAGGCCCACATGGCTCTGTAAGACCTGTCCCTCATCACCTCCCTGACCTCCCCTCCTCCCTCTCTCCTCCTTGCTCACTCTGCTCCAGCCAGCAGGCATGACCCTGCCCCAGGGCCTTTGCATGTGCTGTTCCCGCCCCCGTCTGCAGCACTCTTGACCCTTTGCTTGACTGACTCACTGCTTCTCACCTTCAGAACTCCATTCAAATGCCACCTCCTCAGAGAGATCTCTCTTGACCTAGATCTCTAAGAGAGTCACCAACCTCTCTTCCCTGCCTTCTTTTTCGCTCCCTAGCCCTTCCCAGGATAGGGTGCGTTGTGATGTGCTTCCTTATTGTGGGTTTTGTTCGCGGGTATCCGGGGCGCTTCCAGTAGGCACTTGATACATCGGTGCATGACCGGAGGGGTGTCTGCGGGTGGGGAGAAGGGGC